CAGTTTCGAGCAGCCGCCGTTTAGTAGACGGGCACTCTATCCCGGGCTCTCGATTATGTAAAATATTTTCCACCAGGTTTCACATGCGGCTTTAGTGCCACCGGGCACGAGAGTTCCCCAATGAGATCCTAACGATTCTGATATATCATAATTATTTAGGCGGGAAATAATTTAGTAGGAGAAAAGATTCCAAAGAGAGATATGAGACTCGTTTCGCGAATGAACTGTGGTACGCCGACGAGTGCGCGGGTCTTCCTGTTCTTGCTCGACGTCGCGCCGCGACGCCGACGGGGTGTCCGCGTGTGGTCCCCAAAAGAGATAATTACACGTTTTCAGACTCACTCGTGAAAAAAAAATACAGCCGTGCGAGAGACATGCGAGAGGGTCTAGCGATCGGATTCCATGCGGTCACTTCTCTGCAGTACGCTTTCGCGGTTTATTACGATTACACGTACACGGTCGTGCCGCACAATGTCACGAGCATGCACAACGCCTACGGTGGGAAGTTCAAGTTCCTAACGTTCTGGGATGCGGTTAGTATTGACGTACATACATAACGAGCGCCGAGCGCGCGCTCTGCTTCATTGATGAAGTCTTGCGAAGTCTTTGTCCCTTGGTGTCGGCATCCTCCATGCACGCTGCACACAAACACATCCCGCACTCCCTACGCATCGATCCTTTCGCGCTGTCACTGAGATACCGTTACGACAATCGCCGAAGGAATCGGAACGCAGGTTTTCCACGAGACTGTTATTACGCTCGCGATTTGATTGGGGAGTACAAACAAGCCAGTACGTAAATGACAATGCAACAAAGTCTCAACTCGCGGCGATTCACTTCAAAGATCCGACGGAAATCGTATAGTAACGAGAACCTTATTTATATCTTATTATAAAGCTTTTATCAATTATATTTTTCCTGTCTGCCTTGAGAGAAAAATATAGCTGGAATTACTATAATTTAAATATAATTTATATTTTATAGTAAATTTTGGGGACAACTATAGTTATAATTAATTTAACCATGCAAATTATATAGCTGCTTTAACAATACATTATGATTATGCATTATGATTGATATTATTTTTTCGATTACATATTTTTTAGTTATTATTACAATATAAACAGTAAGCAATTATTAAGAAAATAGTTATATTTATTATAATTGCATTTACTACATAAAAATATTTATTTTATTTGTCATATATGTCTCTTTGATATTTTACTATATTAATATTTGAAATCATTATAAATTATAATACATTTTGTTTATATTTTGTAGAACTATATATATAAGGTTATCATTACTAACATTATAGTAATAATAACTATAAAAATAGTGCTAACCATAATTTTTTTACCATGCAATTATAGTCACAAATACAAAATATTTTTCTCTCAGTGTGTATCCGCAAAGAACCGTTACTTCCGCGGGAACAATTTATACAATATGATGCGTAATAAGATATTAATTTTAGTTACATGAAAACGTGTACACACAGTTCCTGGTACAGCGATCATTAGTCAAGACATTCTTCCACTCCAAAATACACTCATCCTGCTTGTTCTTCCTGCTCTGCGCAAAAAAAAAGAATTACTTATTATATCTTCTATAGAATAATGTTACAGCGAGAAATTCTATAAGTATTCTTCGCAAAAACCGATTCTCTACGATCGCAGATCTAGTATACGCAATATATCCTTATTGCCGTGTTACATAATAGTGAAAACCGACACGTCCACCTAGTAGATACCGGGCGATCGCAAAAAATCACAAACGGTGATATAATATTCCTCGAATCAGCAACCTAGAAAACGGGATATATTTATCTATAATGATTATTATCGGTGCAATCGGTAATTGCAAAAGAATCCTTCCTTTCAATGTAGCGAGACGTATATAGGGCGATAATGGAGAAGCCAAATAACTGTTATTTTATAATGAATGGACAGAAAGAAATAGATCGAACATCGTGCTAAAAAGAAACCTGTTATAGAAGAAACCTGTTTTTATTAGCACATAGTGCAACAAAAATATAACATACAAACATATAAACTTGTAAACTTGCAAATATTAAAAAAACTAACAATTCAGCTAGGTTTAATGATATACATGTTTTCGAAATAATGATCATATAAACTTGCACAATCGCTCTTTTGAAAGTTATTAATTACACTTTCTAACGTTAATATGTATTTATTTTTCAAGATTTTCAAGCCAGTTTTTTTCATAGAAATCGCCACTCATGCCAACAATTTCTGAACTTGCGACATCATTGACAATGAATTGAATAACCAATCGAATTGTCGGTTTTTTTATAATGCTAATTTTTATATGTTTACAAATATATTTGTTTTGCACTATGTAGTTTAAAAATAATATTTTGTTTATTTATTTCATTTCTGTCCACTGTCATTTATTTAGAAATAGCAACTATTAGTTTTATTAACTTTTCGATCGTTATTTTTATTAAAACATTAATTTGAAGAAGTATGTAATAGTGTCACATTTATTGTAATACTAATCATAAATCGTCATAAAACAAAAAAAATATATTTGGCGAAAGCCGCTACCGCGTCTCCCGATAAATACTTATCTCGTGTAAGAAAAAGTCTATGTACACGGAGAGAATTTTCTTTTAAAATTTACCCTGAAAATCATGTTAATTGTGAGACAATATAGTATTTAGGTAAATTTTACTGCGAAATCTTATTGTAGTGCACAGTAAAATTTACCTAAATACTATATTGTCCCAATTAATTAACATGATTTGCAGGGTAAATTAAAAAAAATTCTTTCCGTGTATGCGTATAATAAAGAGAATTAAAAATTCAAAGAAATAATCGTTATCTAAAGAACTGTCAAAGGTTAAAAGCTCTAAGCTTCTAAATACATCATTCAAGCCACGTCTAAATGAATGAACGCGACACATTCAATACACTGTTACATTTTGATGTTGTTTATCTTTCAATTGACATTTATCTAGCACAAATAAAAAATACACTTGTTAAGAGACGAGTGCAGCTCTCAATTTATTCCGTGGCGTTGAACCAAAAGCGTGACTCTACATTCGACGAGATTACGTTCGAGCATTTTGTCACTTATTGTTGAACGATGACACACACTCGACCATTTCACGCTCGAATTGCCGCCAGCAGGCCGCTCGTAAAGAGCAAAATTCAATTGTTTAAGCACCACTTCATATTATGCAGCGAAACGGAGGCGGCACGGGTCACGCAAGACTGCACTCGTGTGCAATCGATAATTACGCTGAAACGTTCGTTTAACTCGAATTAATCAGTTTCATCTAACAAAATGAGGAATATTAGCATCTATAAGTTCTACAATTTCTAAATTAGCCTGAGTTTCACTCGCTCGCTTTTTAATTATTAAATAAGCGGGCAATCACTATAATATAATAGCGATAAACAAAGTATCGAATGAAGTCAATTATTTCTTAATGATCGAAATAGCTCTTTTGTAAGATTTTTATTTTCATTTTCAAGAAATTTCAAAGATCTTCAGATGTGCTATTTAATCTTGAATAGTATCGAGAGAGCAAATAATTAAATCGCTTCCTCTTGCGCTCGTCAACGTGTCGAAGTGTCATTCATGGTGACTTGCACGTGACACATATCATCGTTGGATTGACACGTGATAAGCTTAAAAGGACGGTGTAGATTAAGCGGTTTGATGGGTAAATACTTGAGCTTAAAATGTCAATATTAGATCTAAATGAAATCGTAAGTCGGACAATAGTTTGCGAAAAACACTTATCAATTATATACGATTATTACATTGCCAATTTGGAAATGTATGACATATTCGATTGTCGTGCATTATATGAATATTGTATATTAAAAAAAGGGTCGAAAAATCTCGACGATATGACTCAAAAGAATTCAAATGATAAGCTGAAAAAATTTTAATAACAAAGACTGATATATGTTTTTATAAAGTTATACTTTTAAATTTATACTTTATACTGGTACTTTTAAAACGTCTTTTTCTTCTTTCTTTTTAGAAGTTTAATCTTTCTGCATTTTGTGTTTTTGATATCGATGTTGAAATAAAATAAAATAAAATATTCTCGATTTTTACTTGCTAATCTTGTTATTCTTCTTTAATGTATGATACACGCAGTACAATAAATGTGCGTTTGAAACGATAAGCCATTCATTAAACAATGTTATCACTTACATTGTACAACGTTGTAACAATGTCTTTATCTAATCGATGTTGTACGGTAAATTAAATGTTAAATTATGCAAATAATAATTGCCGCGTTGAAAACGATGAAAATCGAAAGGCATAGTCCATCGACTTTTACTTGCCTGATGAAGAAAACAACGAAAAAAAAACATCAAGTAATGAAATATATGATTATATTATATATTTTTATATCACGTTACGATATATAGCAATTTACATACGTTGTTTAGGACTGAATAAATACTTGTCTCTTTTACACTAAATTTAAGTTTATAAAACAAACGAAACAAATAATAAAAATCGCTCTTTTCGCTTTATAAGTATTTGTCTAAAATTCGCCTGTTTAGTCACTTTCTCGTTGAAATTTCTCAACTTCTAATTATTATATAATATATTTTTTATCACGGCTGAGAAAATGACCGCTATCTAAAAAATTTAATTGCGTTATATTATTACTATTACTAATAAAAAATGTATTGTTATCAATTTGTTGCTAAAAAATAACTGTAACGACATTATGATTACTAACTATTATACAACTAAGATGTTAATTCCCAATGCTATTGATTTTTAAACATACGTGTGTTTAAAATAAACTTATTATATATTAAACATACATATGTACGTTGTATGTTTAGAAACAGTTCTAACAGTGGAATGCATGTAGCATATACATACAATAATACCACAGTTAATTTTAAACAACTATTTATAATTACTGCGGCAGCCATTAAAAATATTTATTGACTTGTTAATTAAAGCGCTTCGAAATGTCACTTGTGTTCTAGATTCTGCAAACGATATTCTTCTTGATATGTCTTCTGAACGATCTATTCGGCACGAACGCATTAAATCCCAAGAAGCCACCCTTCACGCGAAAGTTGAAGGATTACTTACATGCGAGTCTCGGGTTTCCCATCGCTATGGTGAGTAGTATAATTAATTTTTTTTTCATGGTATTGTCCATATTGAGTCGATGAAAAAAAGTCGGTAGTCGGTTTAAATATGAATCCTTATGACTTTTAATTATCTGATGTGCGTGTGTCAGAACGGCAAAAAGACTGTCATGCTCGAAACATTTTCGAAAAAAGAAAAATCGATTTTATTTTTACGAACCGTACAATGTATCCGCGCGCATTCGTAATTCAAATATATTGACGTACAAGTTTATCATTTAACATATCGCATGCTAAAAGCGAGTTTTTCCTTTCAAATACGTGTTTTCCTCATTTCTGTCTTATGAACGCGTTGCGCGAAAGCGCGAACGCGATGTGTGTTGTGCGTTCAATAAAAAATATTACTTGAATATACGAGGATTATCTGATAAATAAGATACGAATCAAAGTATAAAAAATTTTATTTTAAAAATTCAGATAAAAATACAATAAAACTATATATATATAAATTGTTCTTTTATATTTGCCGTTAAATTGAAGCATTTATCTCAGCTTATCACAAGTTTAAATGTTCCTTCACGAAATACTGTAGTTTTCATTGTCTCTTTGTCCTCGAATTTTTTTCCGATGAAAAATTCTTGTAAAAATAATTTAATTCAAAATAAATTAAACAAATTGGAACTAATGAGCCAAGCTAGATTAGTGTTAGTGTTAATGCTGTATAGTAATCTGTATTCAATAATGATATAAACAATTAATGATGTTAAAATATAAAAAATGAAGACAAGTCAAATATTCAAATGTTTCGACCTTAACAATAAATAATGCGTGAAATATTTCTTCACTTAAGAGGAATATATGGTCCGTCTGTTTAATTACTGTATTGTCATCAAAATGACAGAGCATGCAATCTGACAAGGTCGATTGTTGTTGCGTTCTTTTGCTTATCATTAACATCTGATTTCCTTAAGATTCTAGAAAAATGGAATAATTAAGATATTACATCTAGTCTAAAGGACGGTCACTAGTATTTATTTATAATGATGACAAGTATGGATTATTCTCTTACACACAATGTGGTTATGATATTTTCTGACTAACTTGGAGAAACGTATGCGAGTGACAATTTTATCACCTTTGTATTTGCGCTTAATTCTTCAGTAATGACAACCATTTATTGTAAAGTCGAATCGTTTAAATATTTGATTTGTATTTATTTATTTTTTGTATTTTAAAATTATTAGTTGTTTATATCATTATTAAATATATCAGATCATTAACGCTTAGCTTGGCTTATCAGCTCCTTTGTTTAAGTTATTTTGATTTTTATTCTTATGAGCCTTTTCTCTATTTTTTATTTAAATTTAAAAAGAATTTATCTGCATAATTTTCTACTTCTGTAACACGTATCGCACAGTCTCGCTTCATCAAATTTCTTCGCTAGGTTTAAAATCTCTTATCAGAAAAAAATTTGAGAACAAAGATTTATTGAATCTTTGAAAGAAAATTATCGCGAAGAAATATTTAGACTTGTAAAATGCTGGGATAAATGTTTCAACGTTTATGTGAAAAAATTAATATTTATATAATAGTATGTAATATTTTATGTAAATAGTATATAATATTTATATAATAGTTTTATTTTAGTTTCTCTTGATATTTAGAAATAAAAATGTTAACACTGACATAACTTTGATTCCTATCTGATTTATTGGTCAATCCTTGTACATACATTCTTCTCTAAAATTTAAACAACTCTATACTTTTACTTAAAAAAATTAAATAATTACATTAACTTAAACTGTAAATATTTGAAACATTTGAAATGAAGCGACATTTTCTCAAGGAGAGAATATTTTATTCTCGGTTTCTATACATACAAATATTGGCTTATCGCGTGCATGAAAAATTCGTGAATTCGTGAATCGTGAAACTTTACTATACATATCCTAGATCTTACGTAATCTTCAATTTGTGGGAATATTGTTTACAACGATAAACATAAAATCGTTTGAATGTACAATGCCCAATTCTGTTCCCTCGCAGTTCGTCGGCGTGACCTTCTGGGCGTTGATGTTCGTGGATCGTGAGCTGGTGTTGCCAAAAGCGCTGGACCCGTACTTCCCATGGTGGCTGAATCATTTAATGCACACGATGATCATGGTGACCACCGTGTTAGAAATGATCGTCGCGCCGCGGCAATACCCCAAGCGATCCCACAGTCTCGGAATACTCGCGAGCTTCATGCTCACGTACTTAGTCTGGTGAGTGAAACGAAATTAATCGCGTATCCGCTTTTCTTTGTTGTAATAATAATAACACGTTACGGAGATCAGTGTGTCAGTATGTAATCTTTATGTAATACAGAGTTTAGAGGGAGGGCACCTGAGAGGTATATACTTTAACGCGCGTAACGTAATTTTGTAATCTATCGAGGATATAGGAGTAGTTCTCTGGAGGTTCTTAATCGCCCCAGAAGAAAGTTGTAGAGAAACTCATAAGGCATATATAACGTGGAAGGAAGAAACTAAACGCCCCGCTTATGCCCAGGTGCACACGGAGCATTACGCTAGAATCTTACGATTTCAGGATACACGTAATCTACTATAAAAGCGGCATCTGGGTGTACCCCGTGATGGACGTGTTGACGCAGCCGCTACGGATCGTCTTCTTCGCCGTGCTGCTGACGTTCTGCACGATCCTATACTTCGTCGGGGAGACGCTGAACAACATCATCTGGGGTAACGAATACACAAAGCATAAAAAATCTCACGCCAAATCCAAGTAGCCTCGCCCAAGCGTTCCTAACGGGTGATATAAAAATAAAAAAAACCGCAATCTGCCTGCCGCCTGCGGTGTTGGTGAATAAACACACACACACACAACAAACAAACAAAAATGGATCTTTTCTACACCCTCCGTTGCAGCATGCACGATGTACCGGATGTAAATGTCATTTAGAATTATTAGTGCTGTGTATGTGCATGCGAGGCCGCAGTTTAGGGTATAACAGAGTGTTGAGGCTCGCGCGCGATCGTTAACCCGGCGCGGTGGAGATAACACGGAGTGAGCATAAAGGAGCAGCATGTAAGGTGCAACGCATTTCTACGCAATCACTACGGACCAAGGGGAGACTAATCCGTGGGTATATTAGCGTATTTATTTCTCTCACTTTTTTTTAATCCTCCTGCGCGCGCCGCGCCGAATAAAAAAGAAACGATGCGTACCTCATACATTAATTCCTCCCCTTTTTCCTCCTCCCTCTCCCTCGCCCACGATAATACTTATTTTTGTACTTTCGTAGCCGAACGACCTATTATATTATTATTTTTACCAATAAAGGCTACATTATAATACGGTGCACGTAGAATACGTGTGTAATATAATGCATATATAATGTGTATGTACGATGTAGCGTACGTGACAATTTGCCCCCGAAACTAAAGTCCAGATATATTTGTGTGATCGAGTGTAGGAAAAAAATACGTAGCGGTAACGGAGAGCGTGGAGCCGGATTTGAAAACGTAGAAAAAACGGCGGACGGAACGAGAGAGGGAATCTTAAATGTACCGATCGTAATGTACCGATCATCCCGGGATAACGTTGGCGCCGAAGACATTTTCTTGCTACAAGTGAGAAGTGCCTTGGCGAAAACCTCTAGTGCGTTTACGGAAAAGAAGATTTTTAACTCCGACGTTGGGAGGCGAAAGTATATGATTATACCCATGTATATGATTATATTACAGTTTAATTCAGCGAGTAATTTATAATAATACGTAATGGCCTAAGAATTGATATTGATTGTCGCAACATATATTTTCCTAGAAGTTTTATTAAATATGTTCAATGGATAGACACTTTTGACATCTGTCTCCTGCCAGAGATGTAGTTTAAATTGGAACGTGTATATGTATGTCATCGCATAAGAAATATGCATTGTTTACAGAAGTATGTCTCACTAATGGTTCGATATGCTATAATAAAAATGTAAATGACGATAATTTTATTTCTGATTTTTCTTGAGAGACGAAAAAGGAAAGATATCTAACTTAAATGCAATCAATGAACTTTAACACGTTGGAAGAGAAAGTAATATACATTTTCGTATTCCGCGTATACATATTGTAATAGTGAAATTTTAGAAATGTTTAAAAATACTGAGAGAATAATTAGGGTAATATGATAAATATTGGAAAGAAAAACGCGATACGTAAAAGTAGAGTACTCATAAATATATTAATAATTATTACAAAATATGTATAAAATGTAATGATACAAAGAGACAGTTTATAATTAGTACTTTTCAGTAGACATTTGTACTAGCCGTAAATATTTGACAAACCATACGATTTTACAGTTTCGTATTAGCGATATATACTTATATATGTATGTATGTATATATATATATATATATATATATATATATATATATATATATTACATATATAAAAGTAATTTGATTTGCTTGCCTGTAACTATAAAATGTGGCTATTACAAAAGTAAATCACCTATTAGTTATAATTGTAATTTGAATTACATTCATATTACAATTATATTTATTTACTAATTTAATATAATCGTAATTTGAAGATAATTCAAAATACAATTCAAATTATATAATTGTAATTCAAATTACAATTATATTAAATGAATAAACGAATTTTTTTTCCCTCAAAATAGCCATTAATTTATAGATCAGTAATGTAGAAAATTATAAAACGCGTTTTACTCAGGCACTTGTTAAAAAACTGAATGTATAAAAACGTATTCGCTCATACACACATATACACAAGCACATTCACATAGAATATCTTACTCTCATAGAATGTTCGATACATTCTTATAAAACATTGGAAAATATACAATATTAGAAATACAATAGTATTCACTCTTGCGGGAAAATATGTACAACGTGATATATTTAATATTCTAGTATCATCACAAGTTAAAAATTAATTACCTAGAGCACTCGATGCGAGTTGTCAGTTATGGATAGTGTACTAAGATTTGATTACTATTTTAGTGATAATAATAAAATGTGGAAAAATATTTATATGTATTGTTGTATCTACATATCTTCTCAAGCGGTATTATTTAACCCTTTTTTAGCACTTTCGTTATTGCATCATCATTTCATTATTGTATATCACTTAACGTCAAAAACAATCGATAAAAGTCAATGCTTGTCTCGTTTTTGTTCAAAAAATACTATAACGATGATAAAAGCGACGAGAGAAGAAATATAATTGGATCAGCGATGCAATAATTTTTACTAATTCGATAAATGATATCTATCTTGCACAGACATTTTTCAGTATACTTAAAAGAACAAAAAAAAAACAGTTCTCAGTCTTACGTCGTGATATTCTTATTTTTTTTCAATTGTGGTGATATTTGAGTTCCCTTAGAACTGCAGTGTCTGCTATTGATTATCTCGTCGATGCTCTGCTTCAACTCTTCCATCTCTAGTATATCGAGCGGCAGCGAAGTCTGCGTCGCCATCTCCCTGGCGTTGGTCTGTCCGTCGCCCTGCAGCAATCTCGTCAACTCTGGATAACACGAGGTGAGACTAGAATCCAAGTCGCTCATCACAGCTTTCCTGTACGCCTCTTTCTTCTCGTTTTCGTTCTTCGCCTTAATATCGCTAGCCTCCTGCAGCAGATGCTTGAACATAGCTTCGTCCTGCAAAACGTACTTGCCCCTGTGACCGCCCTCGCGACTTCTTCTATCGCCTTCATGATTGTAAGTCTTGCAATTCTTATTGCCACGCTCTTTATTCTTCTTGCGCTCGTGCGCGTTCTCCGGATCCAACATCGCCACCTCGTCCTCCGACTGACTGCCCTCGCTGTCACTGTCCTGCTCGTCCTCCTTCTCCATGTTGCCCATTTCTATATCGACGTTCTCCTTGTCGGCCAAATCTCGCCTCTTCTCCTCGCTGCTTAAATTTTCGTCACTGGCGCTCTGCCTTCTCAACAAAAAGGGCAAAAGCATGCCCGTGTTCTTAGTGTCGACAATTTTCAAGGCTCGCTCGTCCAGTCCGGCGTTTCCCAGTCTTCTGCCCATATTGGGCATCTGAATTGGAACTTGAGTCATCAGCTGACTGTCCTGAGACGTGGTGCTGCCTCTCCTGGAGAGCGGATCGACTTTGGCCGGTCGGGATTTCCCGAAATCCCTTCTGTTCTTCCCGCGGCGACCGCGCGACCGGCTCGCACCAACCTTCCGCGTTGTCTTCACCTGCGCGATCTGCACGGATATCTGCGAGTCCAGAGAGTTTCGTCGGGACTCCATGGAGACCCATTGGTAGCTACAGCTGATCTCGGAATCCCCCGAGTTCCGTCTGTTACTGGACACCGATCCCGCAGTGCCGCCGACTAGCGCGCCCCTTCGCGTCACTAATTTGGGCAAGGCAGCCGCCCAAGTGCTGCTGATGTCCTGCGACGCCGCGGAATTGAGATCGAAGTTCAGTCCAACCGGATCCGCGTGGGTGTTGTGGAAACTTATTGACAAACGGCCGGCCTTGTTGAACGTCTTTCGATTCGCGAACAAATGCGCGATGAGCTTGTGCTTGCTCAGTCTTATGGGAATCTCCTCAGATTCGCGATTGAAGATCCTGCAAACGAGGAGGAAACACATGCTACTCAGAGTCGCATTGATAGCAACAACGACGAGTCAACACAGTAAGTATCTAGTATAGTCTATTGAAATTTACCTTCTTAAAAATCTGCACCATATGTCGACCGTCGAGCTAGTCCATATCCACGAGGAATTAAGTATGCCAATGGAAAATAATGCAAGCAAATGCAATTGCAGTTTACCTGTGCTAGGCCTCATGCTCATTTTACATTCAGATACGTCCGCATATTTTGTCACAATCGTGCATCTTTAAACAAATGCAATTAGATTACATTTACATCACATTTAGATAATATAGCATTATATATAATAATTAATACGTCTGGAGGACGATTAGAGTTCAGATACTACATATTTATATAGGATTTACTATTATAAAATAAAATAAAAATTTACTGTTATATTATATGAAATATATATTTTGAAAAAAAAAAAATATATATATGTATTAAAGTTCCCTTACATCATGTAGCTTCTGAAGCTTTGTTGCCACTCCTGTAAATTCTCAATTTCGTAAATGTGGCAGTAAAATGTTACAACAACAGCTGCAAGAGTAGCTATTGAAAAGAGCCCTATTCTAACACAATTTTGATTTATCTTCGATTTATCTCTTTCAGACATGAACGCTTGATCGATTATTTCCGCGTGAATAAGCATGTAGAGCCCTAAAATAAAATAAAATACATGTGATATTGTATGTTCTAGATGCAAAAATAATTCTTCAATACATTATACAATAATACATTAATACTCACGATGTAGACTAATACAGAAAGCATTAAAAAAAAATGAGTAAAAATTTAATATCATCATATATCGATATAAATACACAAACAATAAGAAACGAAATCTACCTCTGCATATAAAATATCCTCCTATTAGTACAGCAAGTAACACGGGACCCAGCACGAAGATCTTCGCCACGTGATCGGCGTAACCCACGAAGCAAATTCCCATCATGCTGTTGCCGTCAATTCGGCCCAACGCCATGATCGCGACTGTCAAAACGAGTGGCACGCACCAAGCGATCAGATGAAAGTAAGCACTCTTTTTGTCCACCCGATCTTGCCAATCTATCTTGCCGAACGCTCGCAAGTTCACGTTGTGCCAAGCGTACGTGAATATAACGGACCACACCACGGCTGCCATTAGGGAATAATACACAAGGACGAAGACGACGACGCACGATAGATTCTCCCCGCTGTAAAAAATAATATCTTGTGAGATCAGATCTACGCGAAGACCACACGTACGGTGTATCTCGTGAAACGTACCTCGGTTCTTTCGTCCTTAACGTTCCATCTTTGCGGCATACAATTACGTCCCTGCTGCCAGGTGTGAATTGAACCAGCCAGCCAATGCAAGACACCATGAAACAGGCATTGATATAAAATATTACCACAGCCGGATACCTGTTTGCGCTTCTCCAATCTATCAAAAATGTTATCTGGGAAACGTGTAAATATAAAATATAAATACAAATATAATACAATATATAAAGTATAAATACAAAATATAAATGATACAATTATATTAGTATACAAGTATATTATTTAAAATTTTTTCATGCCACTCACAATGGTGAATAAATTGAAAGTGCAGCAGATGCTTGCGGCCCATATGATGAACGAGTGTATTTGATTGTGTTCATCGGGCGTGTATAACGGATCGTAGCACTGCGTTCCACAGCCCTCCACTCCGTCGAAGATCGAAAGAGCGTTGTCGGTAGGTACAAGAGGTTTCAGACATTTGCCCGATATATTGAATTTTAATTCCCTAATGTCATTCTGGCATGATCGCGGGAACAATTTCGTATTGTCGCACTTCGCGAAACTCGGCCATATCGTGTGGTTTATCAGCATCCTGCAGGGTCCCGACACCATCTTGCACATCTCTTGAGGCGGCAATTCGACTACGTCGTTGGTGCACTTCGGCATGAATAACGAGCACAAAAATGGTTGAACGACTGCCCAGCATTTTGGCACATGTTTCAAAGCTTGCAACAAGTACAATCTTTCCTGAAAGTAAAAAGATACGTATAGGTAGATGTAATGTTTTCTCAGTGCAGAAAAAAAAGAAGAATAATATATAGACGGGCAACTTGTTAAGAAATATGTTAAAAGCTAAAATGAAAATATATTCAAATGCAGCTGATATAACAAAATGTATTATTCTTATATCTTTTAACGTTGCGTATCATTGCATAGAAAGATATATAAGCTTATGCATAGTAAGAGAAAAGATATCTGAGACGATCTCAAATACAAATCCTGAGACTTCCAAGTTTATATAGGTAACAAAATAGTCTCATTCCTCAGAAAGCTTTGCAATGCTAAGTTTCTGACTTGCATGCATACGTTCTTGCAAAGGTCACGCTTTATCGCGAGGAGGAAAGAAAACAAGCGAACATTACTAATGCAAAGAATATATAAACATAATGTTATCTACCTCAATAATGTCTTGAGTTACGCGCTCTGGTATGAGGTCCAAAGTGGTAAAAGCGTAAGGTAATTTCGTACCCATACAAGTACTTTTAATCAGCGGGACACATTTGGCGGGTCTGCGGCAGGCCGAGGTGTCCGGTGACAGTTCGCCTATGGGATACCTGTCCAACAGATAGTTGGACTCCCCGACTTTCATTCTCCGACTCAGGTCCACAACCTTCCCCGTGCCGTTCTCGCCGCCGTCGTTGCCGGCCGCAAATCCATGCTCCAGTTCCAAAGGCGAGCCGTTGCAGAGCAGCAGGCAGCAGGCGAACAGCAGGAGTATCATCTGCGAGTTGGAAAACAAGTTTTTCACATTCGGAATTTAAGTGATTTGAGAAAATGTAAGCAAAAAAAAAAAAGCGCAAGCGATCTCTTTTCTCTCGTCCCTTTTACGAGAGGAGGGACAAAAAAAAGGAGGCTTCTCTCGATCTTTCATTTCTTTCTCTTTTGCACACAAGTTTCTTCACGCGACGCCTCCACCACGAGGTGGTGTTAGATCGAACGATGATTAATTACTCTCGAAAACGGAGTGTCACATGGAGGTAAACGCGCGGAATAAACAATGGGATTTCGCGGCGAGGGACGGCGTTGTACCTTCGTACGATCGGGCTGACGAATCTATCCCGGTTAACCACGCGACAGAGTCCTGTGCTTCGCTCGGGCGGAGCGTCTCGCATCTTCTACGCGACAGCCGCACCAAGCCGCACCACACTCGAATCAGCCGGACCACACAACGCGCGTCGCGTACCCGGGTCGGCGCACCACGGCGGACCACCCACGATGCCGCTTCTCCCCCTCGCCTTTCTGAAGTTTGAATGCACGCTACACAACCGGTCACGTGCATTGCTCACCGATGGCAGCACGCTACCCGCGTCGCTCGCTTTTAAGCAGTCGCCGCTACGCGCGAGGTAATCAAGGATCAAGGTCGAACCCGCCGAATTTGGAGAGGGTGGCAAAGAAGAAGGACCGTAACTATCTCCACGTTTCGGCGCGAGGGTCTTCTCCTACGTCGCTTGATTTATATTTCTTAAATCATGTAAGTATTAAAAATGTAATACTAAAAATTGTTAGCAAATTGTTAATTTAAAAAAAAAATTTGTTTACAATTCTATCGACGAGATACCTACTATTAATTTAAAGACCATCGATTCTGGTCGCAAATTTTTGAGACAAAGAGACCGAGGGAGGGGGGGCGGAAAAGTAATTGGAGTGTCAGTATTATCGATCACTGATATAAATTTATGATTAATATGTATAATGCATTATTAAAAGAATTATTTTTTTTATACATAAATGCTTTAAGTATACTCTATAATGCTATAATATATATTATATATAATGCTGCAAAATTACAATTTTTTCTTTTACTGTTATCATCTTTATGGTTCCTCAAACGTGGATGATGACAACTATAAAAATGCAATTTTAAACTAAAATTAACTATTAGCAAGTTGTAAATATATATTACATGTCTAAAAAATATTGGCTCAATAATAAATCATAAAATTAATATTATTATTATTGTTGGCTAATTGTTTAACAATCATTATTTTGAGTATATTCAAGATGTTCTAACTCATAAAAATGTCGATCTTTAATAATATTTCGTCGATGACAACACACACATTGATACACATTATCCAATGTTTCTATCAAAATATATAATAATGCTGTATATCGATTTATCGTGAAAAGAGCAAATAGACATAAAATGTGGTTCGGACAATCAAGTGGCAAAATTGTTAATATAAAAAAAAATTTAATTAAATTACTTAATTTATCACTTGATGTCGATGAGTTAAAATCAGAATGACAGAATAATAGAATGGCAGATTTGTATATATAACAAGTGCAAGGATCAAAAAATTGTAATATATATAGAATGTTTTTATTTATAATGCTCTTATTTTTTTACACTTCGCAAAGTTACATTATTAAGAATGGACTATGTACAGAAGATATTTGTAAAATGATTATGAAACCTATTTACATTTTTTCCTATAAAGACTATCGGAGACTATAAATCCAAAAAAAAGAGCAAAACTGTTTACATCATTTTCTTTCTCATTTATTTTCTCGGAAACATTTTATTTATCTATGTTTTATATCCAAAGTCTTAATTATGTAACTATAGATACACAATATTCAAATTACATTATAATTTGTCTTCCACTAGTCACGAGCACATGAGCAATTCAAAAGAAATTCAATATTTATTGCACAGGACCAGTCTATATACAGTCTTTTTTATATTTAAAAAAACCAATCGTACAAGAAAAATTTCTCTCTCTCGCTTTCTGTTAGAATTGTTTATCATGCATTCATCAATTACTAAATTTTAATCCAGAAATATTGAAAATGCTATATAATAATTTTCGTCCGCTCTATTAATGTAATTATGTAAAAAATTAAACGAGAATTAATCTTAATTATTTAAGCTTCTTTCTTTCTTAAATTACAAGTATTTTAAACCTTTAAGGCCTGGAGGTTAAAGAAGTCAGTTATGGAAATTCTAGATTTATAAAAGTTTTCGAGATCGCTGAATTGCCTGAATTCGAATCTGACCACAAAATTAAAAAATTCAAAAGAGCGGAATGTGCCGAATAGAAAAGGCAAAGAACAAGTATACTAATCATCTTCATATTGGATCCATTTTGATTTTCACATTCTTGATCTCAAACTCAATGATAGTACAATAATCATCCTAAATCAAGTTTCCTGAAAATCGTACAATTTTTTAATTTTTTATTATTTTATCTTTGCTTCGATTTTAGATCCGCCATTTTAAATTTCAAATTTTTTACTTCAAAATCGGAAAGGGCATTAAAAACACCCTCACATATCAAGTTTCGTGAAGATCGAACTGGTAGTTTCCGAAATAAACATAGAAATAAACTATAATTACTCCCGGGTGTCAAAAGATTAATATTTTTAAAATACACATTAAAATCAAACATGTTTTAGAGGTAGCCAAATTCTTCACAAACGACTTTTTATAAGTATGCCAATTAAAAAAAAAAATTCTTTGCAAAACATGGAAAATGATTACATTTTCGGATAAAGTCGCAGCGCAGTCGTTCGCGTGGACACACATAAAGACATAATACACACTTTTAAGTTTTTCTTTCTCAAATAAAAATGTCACTAAATTTTGATAAACAGTGTGTATAATATTACAATAGCATATCTTACTTATGATTAGCCAGTCCATGTTTTAGCCAGTTATACTGAGAGCATTTATGTTCGCCAGTAAATCCTTAACGTCACCTTGAACCTGATCCGTGGTATTGGACAAGGAAAGACGCGAGTAAAAGTTGCTCAACGTCTCCACCTGTTCTCGCATATTCTTCTGCTTCTGCAGATACGCCATTAACATGTGGATTACATTATGCATCTCCTCCTTGATCTTAAGCATATCCTCATTGTTGCAATTGAAACTTCGTTGCAGCATCCTCATTTTCGTTTTTGCCAACTGCAGTGGATTATAGCCGTACGAGTCTAGCGCGAGTACGTCAGTGCCGGCTGTCAAGAGTAGCGTCACTACCGACAGTTTGCTGTTAACCGTGGCCAGATGCAGCGGTGTGTTTCCTATGCAGTCACGCTGATTCGGGTCTGCGCCGTTTTCTAGCAATAAGCGGACTATTTCCGTATAACCCCTGTGACAAAGAAGGTTTAAACATTAACTTAATTTTGAGCCTTACTAAGCGTCGTCTACAATGAGACTTAAGATTTAAAAAAAATTGATCAATCATAGTCGATTATTTATCTCACGCGAGAAGAGTAATCGATGGTGATTGGCCAATTTTCTTAAATCTTAAGTCTTATTGTAGACGCCGCATTTTAAGAGCCGTCTACAATGGAAGTAGTAAGTCGTGGGGCGTCAAAAATTAACTAATCAATCGAAAATGAGAAGAATAATCCACTAGGATTGGTCAATTTTTTACGGCTTACGGCTTGCTATTCTCATTGTAGATGGACTCTTATTAAATATCTCAAGAAAAATACGTAATAACTTCATTAATAAATTGATTCGAGAAGCTCTACTTTCAAACGTACTGTTTATCTTATTTTATAGAAAAAAATGCATACACGGGTTTCTCGGATTATATTTTAAATACATAAATTACCTGCAAGCTGAAATGTGAAGGGGAGTTCGCCCGTGACTGTCGTGATTGTTAGGCGACACGCCGTACTCCAAGAGTCTCTTCATCCAACTTATATTATTCGTGGTAGCGGCCAACCGCATCCTTCGTTGATTACGTTCGGTTTGCCATTCGCTCAAGCCAAAGGTGTGATGCCATCTGCGCCATGAACGAAAGACACGTTCTCTTATCTTAGGGCGATAGAAATCAGCTGTGACATTAAAATTATTATTATTATATGGAATAACACTTAATACCTCTATCAGGAAATTATTTATATAAATTAACATTTGTTTGAAACAACTCAAAAAACTTTTTTAAAAGATTTAAAGAAATAATACGGAAAAAAACGTTATTTTCTTTGAAAATTAAAATAAAATATAAAGATAGAAAATAGCCAAAATGTAAATAGATGAAATTCTATAAGAATACTTACGGGTTGTCAATAACTCGCCAGTCTTTTGAGTATTACCAGCTGCCGCTGCTGTCCGTAATATTTTTATCATCTGAAACAACACAATAATCTTTCAATCCAGTATTTATAGTTTTTTTTAAATTATACTAACAGCTATATTCGACAGAAAATTTATATTGAAGGTAATTAACGACTTAATGAGGATTCTATTAAACAATCTTCCATTGTTATCTCTCATTTTCACTTGGCATTTCTACGTGGAAGAATCTTTCGGACGAGCTCTTTGCTCGTCGTTCTGCAACTCGCGGCAACGTTTGCCGACGTGTAGCAACGACAAAATAAACATACCTCGGCGTGATTGATCGCGTTCATCTTGAGCTTGTTTGCGCCCACGTTGTGCCTGTGTGACAGCACAGCGCTCTCGTCCTGGACGAAATGGAGTGGATCTATTAAAGTCGTACACGTCCAGTCGTACATGCCCAGTTTAGGAAATTCCCCGGAGGCGGAGTGATCCGTGTCGACGGACGCCGTGACGCCGTGACTGCCGACGACCTGGCTAGCGGCGACTTGCTGCTGCTGCTGCTGCTGCTGTTGGTGCTGCTGCCCGTCCTGCTGGACGGTCGAGCTGTCGTTCGAATCGTTCCCGGTCTCCACTCCCGAGTCTACCGACGTCATGTTTACATTGAAACACGCAACACTACCACCTTGGCTGCTGTGGCCGGACAGCGGCGTCGCCTCTCGCCCCCGCGAGTCCGCAACGTCGTCCATCGGTTTATACACGATCTGTGTCACGTTTGTGTCCCGGATAAGTCGGGAGACTCTACCAGAAAGTCGCGATTCACGTACGTATGCCACAAACGAGCACACCGAACCTCTCGCTCCACTTCCGACGTCCTGATCCCCCGGCCGACAACTTCCTCGATCACCCCTCCCGCCCCTCTCTCTCTCTCTCTCT